CGGCCGAGGCCCGGCGTGGGGGGCCGGGCCGGGCCGGGCCGGGCCTGCGCGGAGCCTTCCCGCCGCGTCGCCCCCCGGAGCCCGGGGCTTCTGCGCCGCGCCGGCCGCCGCCGCCTCGCCCCTCCGGTGGGTTCTCTGGTGTTTACTCGCTTCCTCCCGGGGGCGTTTGGCTCTCGGCGGAGCGGCGACGGGCGCCCGGGAGACCTGTTGCCCGCGTGGGTGGGTGGGCTCGGAGCGGAGCGCATCCTCCTGGTCGCCCCCGTGTGCTTCCCCGCCGCTCTGCGCCCCCGTTTTTGGGCAGGATCCCCATATAATCGTTGCTGCATCTGGATGCAGGATTCTTCGGCGTTCAGCTACCGCAATGCCTCCTTGGTTGCGTTCTGACTGTTTAATTGTAGCGAGGGCTCGTTTTACTGTAACAAAGTCGAACATGCTGGTAACTAAAACACTAGCAGTCTCCCCCTGGAGTCAGGATCTGCCCTCTCCTGTGTGTCGGATGTTGAACTGTAATCCCCTCGGGGAAGGGGCTTGTCCCCTCTAAAAAAGATACTGCAACCAATAGCATAGTTCTCGGGGATTGTGGTCGCGTGTGGGTCGTTCGACTTGCAAACAGCGTGGCATATTCCAGTTTCGGTACCACACATGACCCTGTGGATTCCTGCATTCAAATAATGAAGTCTAATTCAGTCGTGGAATTTCTGGACCACTTTTCCGGAAAACGTGAGTGTCGATCGCACAGGTCAGCTTGCTGCAGAAATCTTTCAATTTGCACAAGAAATTTTTCTGGGAGCCGTTCTGAGTGGTGGTGTTTAGAAAGCAGCAAAGCTAAAACATCAGACCTTGCCTCATGCAAAGCCCCCCCCCCCCCACATATGCCCTGTCTTTGTTCTGAATTAGGTAAAGGGGGGGGAATGAAAGCACAATAATTTCTGATTTAAATGTCATTCTGTATAGATATTTTTCTGGAGTGCTTGTCCATTTTTTTAAACTAATGGCATATAAGCCACTTTGGGATGCTCAGAAGAGGAAAGAAGGTGGAATATAAATGCAATGTAGTAGCAGTAATAATAATACTGTTTAAAGGGAAGTCCAGTCATGGAATCATAGAATAGTAGAGTTGGAAGAGGCCTGTAAGGTCAGCAAGTTCAGCTCCCTGCTGGATGCTATCTAGGAAGCTGTTGGAAAATTTGGAATTCCAGCTCTGACCTCAGAAAAAAGCTGAGGAGCCGGGGCTCTGAATTTGGAGTCTCCTCCCTCTGTCTTGGCCCTGTGTGGCTCTTTCACACTGGCTGTGGTTCCCGGTTCACTCTGGATTCAGTGCGGGGGGGGGGGATGGAAGCAGCGAAACTCCGTCAGGTTTAGTGTAACCTGAGACAGCCAAAATTCATGGCAGTATCGTCTGTAGGCCAGGAAAAATGCAGAGGTGGTCCTTTGTCTGAACAACAGCCCTGCAAGGTAGGGAAGGCTGGGAGTCAGTGAAGATTCATGGCCCCAGGTGACTGGAAATGCAGGAATGGCCCCAGCTTGCTCGTTCTTCTTGGCTTGACTGGATACCTGCAACACTCTGAGTTTGGGGGGCAGGGGGGTGTACAGGCAAGCACAGTGGATGGCACCTAAAATAAGGGTTGGGGAATAAAGGCACTGAATTTTTTTTGCTCAGCGGAGGTCCAATCCTGTGCACATTTAGGCAGAAAAAAATCCTACAAGTTCAGAGGACTTTGCTGTCTCTAAATGCATGCTGGGGTGTAGCCTAATTCATTGTAGCAAATGACTGGGCATTCTAAGCAAACATCTCTTTGCTCCTCTGTTTCTAAAGTTTAACTTTGTTGTTCCACAGAGGCCACCGGAGCATCTTCAGGTTTGTGATCACATCACCCTGAAATATAAGATAAACAGCGCTCTCTCTCTCTCTCTCTCTCTCTCTCTCTCTCTCTCTCTCTCTCTCTCGTTCTGCGTTCTTTCACATTCATGGTGTTACCCAAAACCGTGCATTACACAAGTGAGCTTCTGCTCTGCTTGCCAAATATTTATTTGCAATTCCATTTGTTTTACTAACGAACTAATGAAATGGGCCGATTTCTGTGAAAAACGTTGGGAAATTTTTCTGCTGTGTTTGGATCTTGGGAACACAGTTCAAGAGAGGCCTAGAATTTCAAGAATTCCAAAGGCATCTTTAGGAATGGCAGATAGGGGAAACGGAAGAGGTTGGACTTGCTGAAAAAAGGGTCTTCACAGGTACTGAAGCTGTTGGTGTTTGATGCATCATGACTCCCAGGAGCATGGGTGTCGGAATGCACCCATAAGGCACAACCCTACGCAGACCTAGGCTGGCAGAGGTCTGCAGCTCATAGGATTCCCCAGCCAGCCATGCTGGGACTTGTGGGACATTCTTCTTTCCAAACTAGTGTAAAATTGTGTTTTTAGTTGTCAAAGCTGTGGGCAGGGAACAGATGCAGGTGAGAGACGTGGTGTGATACAAGTGTTGTGAGAAGCCGTTCTAAACAAAATCTGACCCAACCCTACCTCCTTTTCTCCTTGTTGTGTAAACCCCGATTCAAAAAGCCCTGCCAATTGTGTGTGTGGTGTAAATACTGGAACTAGTTTTGGTTCTTGCCCCCAGAGCTAAAAGCAACTGATAGGCTTCAGAAACAAAACATAGTCCGGGTGGCTTCAATGTTTTTTATTCAAAGTTTTAGCTGGAAATGTTTTTGTTTGAGTTCTTGGAAATAGGCTAAGCAATGGCAGCTCAGTTCAGTCCCCTAATGTTGTTTAGATTGAAGGAATACATTCCTTCCTGAGAATAAATTGTCTTTTGGAGAATTTCTTGGAGGTCATATGCTAGTGGTGGAAGAGGACTAAGACTAAAAAGAGGGGCTGAAAGCAAAAAGCATATTTTAGCTTATTTTTTCTGTCTTCCAGCCTTTCAGACTTTTAGAATGGGGGGAAATCCTGCACAAAAGCTTGGGAACCACCAAGTGATCTTGGGAGGGCGAGATTTGGACCCTGGGTTTGGGATTCTGCTCCTGGTTTAGATTTTAGAATGTGGGGATGAAAGCATTGGGGGGTTAGAGGTCATCAATACATGGACATTCTTGTGTTGGAAAAAAAGCAGAGAAGGGCAGCAAAAATGATCAGGGAACTACTACGATTGGGACTATTTAGCTTAGAAAAAAAATTAAGTAAAGGGGGATAGAATGTTGTTTACTTGCGAAGTCATGCCCAACCTATCGCGACCCCATGGACAACATTCCTCCAGGCCTTCCTGTCCTCCACCATCCCCCAGAGTCCCCCTAAGCTCACGCTGACTGCTTCACTGACTCCATCCAGCCACCTCATCCTCTGCCGTCCCGTCCCCTTTTGCTGTCAATCATTCCCAGCATCAGGCTCTTCTCCAGCGAGTCCTTCCTTCTCATTAGGTGGCCAAAGTCTTTGAGCTTCATTTTCAGTCCCTGGCCTTCTAAAGAGCAGCCAGGGTTGATCTCCTCTAGGACTGACCGGTTGGATCGCCTTGCAGTCCAAGGGACTCGCAGAGTCTCCTCCAGCACCACAATTCAAAGGCCTCAATCCTTTGGCGCTCAGCCTTCCTTATGGTCCAGCTTTCACAGCCATACATTGCAACTAGGAAAGCCATAGCTTTGACTATAATAGAGGTGTTTAAATTATGCATGGCATGGAGAGGACTTTTTCTCCCTTTCCCGTAACACTCAAACCCGGAGTCATCCCCTGAAGCTGATTGGTGGAGGCTTGTGGCAGATGTGGATGTTAGATTTGGTTATATTGGTATCTGTAGTAATGAATGTTGTACAATTGGGGGGGGGGAGGAAACACTTCCGGAATGGCGGGGAAAAAACCCACCCCATGTAACGGCTTTGCCTCGAGCAGAAAGAAATAATTATCTGCCTTTTTCCACCCAGCTTCACTGCATGAGCTGGATGGATAAATGTCCCCAGAACATGGCTCTCCAGAGTTCGATTTAACTTCTTTTAAGTGCTTTCCTCAAGGGTATTTCTCTTGCATCCTTCTTAAAACACTTTGGATGGCAAACCGTGGTCAGAAGCTCTTGTCAGCTGTACTTGGGAGGTCGGTGGTGTTGTACCCAAATACCTTCCTTTCTGAAATAAAGAGGTCTCTCTGAATGCTTGAAGAGTGGAAAGCAGCAGTTAGCTCCCGATTCGTCCTGCTTCTGAGCAGCTGACGCTCTGTAGGGCGCAGGGATGTCAGGACGGATTAAGTATAAACACCTATGATCTGTCCCTGGAAGGAGAAGCTGTGCCTTGAGTGGGGAATTGAGAGAGTAATCTGGATGGAGGGGAGCATCTGGAAGCAACAGAGCGCTGGGTGCAAATGTCTCCTTGCAAGTGTGTCTCCTAAAATGGAGCTATGGGGAGACTGTAATTCTGCA